TTATCACGTAATAACGTAAAACTTATCACATAAAAACGTAAAATTTATAACGTAATGACGTGAAACTTATCACGAAATAACGTAAAACTTATCACAAAATAACGTAAAACTTATCACAAAATAACGTAAAACTTATCACAAAATAACGTAAAACTTAACACGAAATAATGTAAAACTTATAACGTAATGACGTGAAACTTATCACAATAACGTAAAACTTATCATGAAATAACATAAAACTTATAACGTAATCATGTTAAACTTATCACGAAATAAAGTAAAACTTATCACGTAATAACGTAAAACTTATCACATAAAAACGTAAAATTTATAACGTAATAACGTGAAACTTATCACGAAATAACGTAAAACTTATCACGTAATAACATAAAACTTATCACGTAATAACATAAAACTTATCACGTAATAACATAAAACTTATCACGTAATAACATAAAATTTATCACGTAATAACGTAAAACTTAACACGTAATTACGTGAAACTGAGCCAATTTTTTTTTTCTCAGTGTGGCAGCAATACGCTTCCGTAGTTTTACTTTCAGCTATTTGCAGTAAAAATTGCATTTTTAAAAATGTAGGATTATCTTGATTATTCATGATTAATAGTGAGGCTAAATGAATGAAGCGATGAATAATCAAAAGCTTTGATTTACCAGATGAAGCATTTTATTTGTTTGACAGCCTTTATAATAATTATTGTTAGTTTCACTACAGTCTCTGGACAGAAAAGAACCAAGAATCTCAACTTCTATATTTTCAGTATGGCTCTATTTTTTTGGCTAACTTTACCGTTAGATCTGGAGTTAGGGATAAACCATCATATGCAGCGTAAGTGCTGTGATTTGCTTCAGCTGAGATTGGCAAAGTGGCTGAACAAAGAGAATCCATGATTTAAAGGCACCACACTGGACTTCTGCCTTTGTGTTTGGCCTCTCGATAAATATTTTAACATCAATGCTCCAACACAAGGCCATTAAATATTCAGTGTACAAAAAAACGCCAAAAAAAAAAAAAAGGCTGTTAAATTGGATTCTGCGCTGCTCAGTTGTCACGAGAGATTGAGAGAGGGAGGGGGAGACAGAGAGAGGGAAGTACATTTTTTGCAGTTTTAGTACCTCACGTTAAAAAAAACATTAAATTTTAAAAAATTGATTTTAATTGAATTCAAATTAATTGAAATTAAAAAATATTATTGAAATTATATGAATGCATTCTTTGAATAAAAATATAAAAATATTCTATGTTTTTACCAATTATAAATTTAAAATTAAAATAAAAAATGTAAATAAAATGTAAGCAGTGTCCAGTCAAAATACTCTTAGGCCACAGTCTGCTAAATATTTCCTATACCTGAAAAAAAAAAAAACAATTTCAGACTGCGTTGTTTCCACTGTTTTATTAGTTGCGCAGTAAATGTACATGTATTAATTGTGACCAATACTTTGAGCAAACGTTGTGTTAAGTGTAAGGACATTTTGGATCCCAGGTTTTTGTGGTAGATAATAATTAAATAATCTAAAGCATGTATCAAACTCAAGGCCCGGGGGGCCAAATGCTGCCCGCCAGTCTATATTGTTTGGACATGGAAGCTTAGAAGCATTTCATAAAGTCCACGTGGGCGAGTTTCTTAACCTGATGAATTAAACGTTATTACCCAGTCATGTACAATATTTGTAACTTGAATAAATATTGTGCTTTAGTGATATTTTAGTATTGTAGTTTAGTGATATTTCCTCTCAGAACTACTGGCTGTGGAGGAGGACAGTGTGGCCTGAGCCACAGGGACCTGGGCCGGAGCCGAGCCGCTGAACCAGTTCCATAATCAATAGTCTGAGCTTTCGGCGAGCAACTTCTTCAGGCACCAGGGAGGAGTGCTAATGAGAGAGGGATGTAGATAATGAGCTAAAGAAGGAGAAGAAGTGTCTGCTTTTTTAAAAAAAGGCTGACAGCCCAAGTTCTTAGCTCAAAACTGAGACGTGTGTCATCGCAACTGCAGGAACTAACAATCCAACTTTGTTACAGTGAGTGGGCTGTCATGTCTGTGTGAAATATTTAATCATGCATTATGCAACTAATCCGAAAAAAGCGAATGGGAATTTTGACTTCTATGAAGATTATTATAAATATCAGGGAGAAGCTGGAGCAAAAACCAAGCTATAAATATCTTTACGCCTCAACTATATTGTCTGGTTGTGAATTATTAGCATTGTGAGACAGGTATGTGTTTCCAGTGTCTGCAAGGTGTTGATTAGTATGATTAAAGTATATAAAAATACTACTAGTACTAGAAGTAGAAGGCTACTTTTAAAGTTATTGTTTTCCCGATATTTCTTTTGTTTGTGTTGTTTCTCTGGGAACTCTTTGCCCTTCATCTTAACTCCCAGGTGTAAGTCGGATTCTTCAGATTTTCCAATGGCCTGTGTTATGATGTTAGCGCTGTGTTAGCGTAGGTGAGTGACATAGGTACTTATGTACAGTACGTGTGTACGTGTCCTTTGCCATTTTTTAAATACCTAATATTTAATTTAGAAAACACTCTTGTAAACCCGCGCTTTTGAGGGAAAGCTGAAGACGAATGATAATGAGGCAGGGAGAACGCTGTGGTCTCAAAGCTAGCTATTAACTGTAGCGGCCTGTGTCAGCAATTTCTGAGCTTTTATCCATGACAAATTTTCTGGAGCAACGCTAAAGTAATTAGCCCTACGTGAAGGTTATTTGCGGAGGAGGAGTTTTGAGAAAAAGGGTGGTGTAAACATCTGCGTGAGGTCATTGAGGTTGGGCCTACATGACCATTCAGTCCCAGAAGTGTGTAAATATGGTAAAGGAATGAGTAAGTAATGTTTTGTCCCTGGCATACAATGTTTTGCGGGTACTCGGAAACCGGCTTTGTTGATATTTGCTGCCATACAACATTCACTTTCTTTCGTCTGTGTCGTTTCTCTGGGAACTCTTTGCCCTTCATTGTGACTCCCAGGTGTCAGATTCTTCTGATGTTTTTGTGTCCAATGTTAAGATGTTAGCGCTGTGTTAGCGTAGATGAATGACATAGGTGCTTATGTACAGTACGTGAGTTAAGAGCTACGGTGAAAAAGCGTGACACTGACATAGGTACTTATGTACAGTACGTGAGTTTAGAGCTACGGTGAAAAAGCGTGACATATCATAGGGTTTGCATCTCTGTAGTTGGAAGTGAAAGTTTGAAATTCAGGGAGTAGGAAAATCCTGTTTAGCCAGCCTACATGGAATTTCACTACATGAATTCCCTTGCCTTTTCCCTGAGAGCTACTCTGCTCAACCAGCTTTTAAAAATATGTCCTCTTACTACCAGTGGGTGATTTGTGCCCTTTCAGTCACTCAAGCCAATCAGGAACCAGTGGGATTTTACACACAGAAAAGCCATTTTCTTGAAAAAAAAACTGTCAGAGCTTTAAGGGACAGAGAGAGGAGACATATGAAAGTTGTTATAGACAGTGATGGACAGAGGTAGATCAGTATTATGGAAACAGTAAGATGGTGCAGGAGAGTAGGAATGGCAGTTGGTGCACGTAGATTGATGGGTTGTTAGCGTGGTACGCAGAGGTAGCTGTGTCTCTGCTGTCTCCTGTAATGACTCCAATGGGAAGTGATTATGTGGAAGAAAATACAGCCTCAGTTACCCCCCCCCAACTCCCTGCTGATCACCGGAGACATCTAAGGCTTACATAAGCACCACCACTTAAACTGGGAGAATAAAATAACGAGGTAAACTGGGATGCTGTAGCTTTAATAAGTGTGGAACAATGCATTTTCTGTAATAGGCTAGAGTAAAAGGTGAACATTCTGTATCCACGGCACATCTCGCGCCCCCTTTTTAGCTGGACCACTGACCAGTGTGTGGTCTTTACTTTATGTATTGACTCTCTTAAATCAGCGGTCCCTGAACTTTTTTGTACCAAAGATCTGTCGGCCGGTATCAGTTGTTACTGGATTGTTTTTGAATGAAGTAAATTTGTCCCACTGTGGCTGGTACCAAAGATCTGTCGGCCGGTATCAGCTGTTACTGTCGATGGGGTAACACTGCGACTGTGGCTGGGACCAAATAACCTATGGACCATCACCAGTCCCTGCACCCGGTGTTGGGAACCCTCTATACTATAGACTGGTCATACCAAAAGTGTGAAAAAAATGTGGGCAATGTGGGATAAAACATCAGATTCTTTTCTAACATTACATACTGACCTTTGACACTTTGGTTTAGTTCAAACAAAGCTTTTCTTAAAAAAACAAAAACAAAAAAAAAACAAAAACAATGTTGAATTTAATTTTGATAAAAATGTGATTGACTGTTCACCTGAACTGTTGTGAAAGATTGGAGAGAGAATGCCCTCAGTAAAACTTTTGTTTGGATTGTTGTTGTTCCAGGAATAACGTTGTGAAGAAGAGGACAAACGTCTCCTAGAAACCAGTCCACGCCCACTCCTTAACTGCTTTGGATGTCTGTGGAAGTCTGTCGTCCTCTGATCAGCTGGTGGAGTGAAGACGTTGAAGGTATTCCCTTCTTGGTAAGCATACCTTTAATTCTGACTCCTACCTTTTTTCTCACCCTCTGTGTATCGCTCCATCAGCCATCTCCACATCTGTACTCTGTGTTTCTGCTCCCTTGTTCTTGTCCCTCTGGCTCAGCCTGCTAGTAATGCCTTTGAAGGTGTCA